AAGGGGTACCCATAAATATACTTTTACCGATTTTAGACAAAAGGACTGGCAGAGATAACTAGCAGTGGGAGATAAAGAATGTTGTTTGTAACTTATCTCGTTTGTCTCACAGTAACATCAGAACAAGAAGGAGAGCAAGACTGCATGTATAATTGCTAAGTGCCTTGAGCACCATGCAGGTGACAGCACAAGATAAAGAATGTAAAATTAATAACCTTAAAAGCTGGAATTGTTACATTACTGGATTTATTTCTTTTCAGAATGTTGTGTGTTGAATTGAATATGGATTGCACAGTACTATTCTGTTATCAAGACCGGATTCAGAAATGTATGAACACATTCATTTATGCTTCCATATATACATGTACACATGAATACATACCTACATATATTTCTTGCTCTGGTCCTGATAACAGAGCAGTACCGAATGCACATTGAACTTAAAATTTGGAAATTATTTTGCAGTTAGTTAAAAAAAATAACTCTGATAATAATTTATAGGACTTCAAGCTCATAATAAATACAGTAAAGTAATACTAATAGAAAATTACTACACAAATATTAGATATGGTTTGGTATGCATCTGTAGATGATTTTCATATAGAACAAATAAGTTATGGGCTCACTTTTAATAATTAAAATAGTTAACAGTTGAAAGAAAAGAAATAAAAATAGTTACAACTTTTTAAATTAGACGATTTTTGTAGAAATTTTGAAAATCAAGGCCAGTTTTCTCCTCCTTATTTTCCTTTTATAATAGAAATTCTAATTTGGAAAAAAAAAAAAAAAAATTCAAAAGAATTTCTTAATTAGAATAAGAAATTAATAAGAAATTTTGTCATATATTGTAAAAAACAAAAAGGGGTTTCTTAATGATGTTTTTAGAGATTGCAGCTATTTAAAAGGGTTGCAGATTATTTTAAGATGAGTTTTGCTACTAATATCCTGTGATGTATTTAGCAATAAGTCCATGTGCAAATCTTTGTATGATCACCCAGATCACATTTTAGCATGCAGAATTTCCTTCAATAAGTACTAAATTCGGCACTTTATGATAGATAAGCCTGGAGATAGAATAAAAGGAGGTGCCAACCCCTCACTAAGACTGACACAATGTTTCCTAGCTTTGGCCTCCAGAGGGAGTGTTTTTTGTTTACATTCAGAGCATCCTTGACAACGCTTTGATAGTATTTCCACTCATGACAGTTCCACACAAATCGAAAAGCGGATACACTTCCGCATAAAAGAAAGATTCATGGTGGACAACAGCAATTTGTGTAGTTTAGTGGCACTTACAAAAAATGTTTTTTGGTACTTTTCCGTTTCGCCGGCGCAAATCTCGCCAAGCAGACTTGGCGACAACATACAGTATACACATAAAAAATGTTAATTATAAGAACTTTTTTTTTTATTTTGAAGGCATAAACATTTTAATATGGTTTAAAATTTTGTAAAAAGCCAATAAATAAAGACAATAAATTTGTAAAAAGACATTAATTTAAGAATTTACTATGATTTCATGGTTCAAAATCCTGATTTGCCGGTTTGTATCACATGACCCCAAGTGATCTCATCTCACGTAAACTACGCTACTAAAATCTAATTCACTCAGTAATTATCTACATTAATTTCAAGTTAAATCTTAATTTGGAATACAAGTTTAAATGCAAGAATTATTTCAATTCGTACGAATAGCTTACTCAGAAATTATGTAAAACTGCAGTGCTTTACTTCGCTAGTGCATTCTCATTAGAATTGATGAATTTAACACTTGATTTCGCCTTCGGATGAGCAGTGTAATTGCGTTCTAATTGACTTAATTACCGTGAATTGTCTTAGGGGATAAAATTTAAATATCGTGTAAAAATTCTATATTATTGTATGCCAGTATTGAAAGAAACAATCTGATAAGAAATGGCTTCAACTTGTTTTAAAACTGAGGCATAAAAGGTTACCAGCGAAGATAATCCGTCTGGCATCAGTTAAACCATTATTGGCGACTTTATCGTTTGCGCCGGCAAAACGGAAAAGTACCTTTTTTTTTTTTTTTTTTTTTTTATTTCTATAAATTGCAACAGCGATTTTGATTATGAATTTGTTTTACAAAATTCTAAGCTACTCGACTATAAAAATATAGATTTTAACAAAATGAACATGTTATGCATATAGAATGAAAAATACCTTAAGGTACCTTTAAAATGTCAAAATATTGCAAAAATATAACTTTCTGTTAACCTTAATTTCCTTATAACTAAGTGGTATAAGTCTGAAAATTTGTATAATTTATATATTTATATATTTTTAATTATTTGTATACTGTATGTATTTGTGAATTTAGATCAATTAGTTGTTTTAATTGTTTTAAAAAATCAAGCAATATTATGCAGACTAAGGCAATCAAGATTGTGATCTAATGACAATGAGGTTAATGTTTAAAAATTCAATGCATAGTTGTTATTTATTAATATTATCAGAGAATGATTAAACTGGGTAAAATCGCTAAAAGAGGTATTGAATGCTCTGCCAAAATATATTTACTTGAAAATTTGAAGTTGATAATAAGAGTACCCAAAAGTGTGTTTTAAGTCAAAAGTTTAGAACTTGATGGCTAAATGTAAATATAAAATTATTTATGTTGAAATATTGTAATTAGGCACATAGGTCAAGTTAAGATTTTTAAATAGGGTAAGGCATGCAAGAGCTGTCTGCCTAAAGGGAGAGATGTCTTCGTGGAGGAATTTTGAAAGAAAGCTTACCTTTGAGTGCATATTAAAATTAATGTATGTAATTTTTATGCAATTTATATTTATACACATTCTTTATGTAAAAATTCTGATATATCCTAAATTATTCTAAATTACAATACTAAAAAAAAATGTAGTGAATGCACAGAAATTAAAGATTTGCACATGCCGGAAATGAAGAATATTAAATATATATGGGTATTTATGCATATCCTTGTAATGTAAGCATATATTTGCCTTTAACAAAATACGTAATTATACAAATACGTAACTTCTATGAATGTTAATGTGAAGAAATCTAGTTATAAAATATATCTAAATTTATAATTATTATAAATATTGTCTGCATTAATTGTAAACATAAATTGAAGTTCCGTTGACAAATATATTTATAAAACTATTTAAGCAAGAACTGTTCATACTGAAAAGCAGTCCATTAAAAGGTGTAAAGTACAGTCTGTGAGATGCATACTTAAGGAAGTAGTGAAGAAGAATTTTTAGAATATGTATTGTTGAAATTAAGGGTACAAAAAATTTGATAAGTATTAAAAGAATTATTTTCTTACATTTTGTAATAACTCAGTTATAAGTTTTAAACAATATTAAAAAAAAAAATAATAATTCCTTTCAAAAATACTCATAGAAAGTTGAGTTCATGGAAATCAGCAGCAATATTTAATGTATTTCACTATTAAAATAAAAGATGATCTAAATTGTAATGAACAGAACAGAGTACTATTAATTAACAGAGTACTAAGTAACTGTGATTTTTTATTTAAAGGATGCTTCAAAAACTAAAAACTCATCATATATTTGAGAAAGTACTTTGGGAAAAGCTCTGTAAATAGAAAAGAAATAATGCATAAATTTAATATTAATAATACAATGAACTTCAATCTTAATTTTTTTAATCGATAACCAAATAAAATTGAATTACCTTAAAATTTATCTCTAATGTCGTTAACGAAAACTTGTGAAAATACTTTATTCAAATTAAACTGTTCTGGGAAAAGTATAACATTTAATTCCATTCAGCATAAAATGTTGTTTAAAAATAGTATATTCTTTTCACATACTTAAGACTCTGAAATATTGTAGAAAAGAAAATGTGTACATTTATACGTATATTTATTATGTAATTATGAAATATTTACTTCCAATCATGTCAAAAACTATTGGTCTTAATGGCAAGTCACTGAATGTTTTGGTCTCCACGAGGGGGTATGCACTGCTTCAAGGTAGTGCATGGGGAGAACCAGTTAGGGCCTGTCCTCTTATTTCCTGTTTCAATGTCAATAAGCATGTTCTAATGTAACATTCACTGTTTAAAAATATATTACATATGATTGCATTCATAGGAAATTCATTGTATTATACATAGCGTGTTTTTTAAGTAAGGGCCGTTTTGTTGTATATACTAATGTGTATTGCGTGGGTGGCAATGAGTGCTTGCATCGTATCCCAGCATTCCTTGCAAACATCTGTGCTGAGTTGCAGCTGTGTAGGTAACCTGTACTGTCTGTTCTGTGTCTTTAAAATGTTCAAGATTGTTGAATCAGCCGTCCGTTCAAGATACAGTCAGTGATACCCTTTTTGTTGGCAAGAACCCTGTACATTCACTAGCCGATTTGTTCAGTTTATGGAGCTATTGCCATAAATGAAGGCAAAGTGTGCAAGTGGGGTCAGAGACTTCAAAACTGTCCACAATAACATCCGTAACAAGTCCTGCTCCGGTCACTCATTTGTGATCACAGATGGTGGCTTCAATTGAAATCACCTATGGTTGCTTCAGTTGAATTGAAAATCCTTGAGAACAGAGGCTTCACCATAAGCACTCTTTCAATTGAATTTTCTCAAGTGTCTAGTCTAGGATGTGAAAACGGCCCTGACCTCTTGGCTGTTGGAGCTGGCGGCAAGTTTTTATGAAGAGGGTATTCAAATCTAGTTCTAAGGTATGATATGTGTTTAAAAAGACTTGGCAACTGTGTTGGAAAATAGAGGAATGTATGTGGAATCTGAAAATAAATTTGGTTTTGGAAAATTTTCTTTCATTTTTTTTTTTTTTTTTTATTTTCAAATGGCCCTTATTTAACAAACACCCGTGGTAATTAATTTTTCTGAAAATTAATCTATTTAATTAAGCTGTTGCTTTTAGAAATTATTATTTTCAGTTTGCTATTGCAAGTGTCTGATGTGCTTTTAGTAATTTATATTTATAAAATAAATTTTCTTTTTTATTTATTTATTTATTACTAGAACAGAAAGAATCTATGCTAACAAAGAATGATTCAAAGAGCTGTTTTCAGCGGTTGTTACATCTTCGCAAAAAACAAGCTGAGAGCTCTATTTTATTAACAAAAAAAAAAAAAAAAAAAAAAAAAAAAAAAAAAAAAAAAAAAAAAAACCAAGTAAAGAAGATATTAATTCAGTTACATCTATATGTGAAGAGTATGGCACAATTAAAAGTTTATATGCATATCCAGGAGAATGTGGAAATGTTAGTATATACCATCTCTTCTTGCAAATCTCTTGTACTTTAAATTATTTTTATAAGTATATTTTCAGCATTAATATTTTTAAAAATATTTTTATTAAAAATTTACCATGCTTGAAAAATATTGGACATTAAATTTTCTAAAACATAGTAAAGATTGCATATCCTTTAGAGATGTAACCAAATAAGAGGCAAAGGTGCTTATTTAATGCACTCATTTAGTAGAAATCTCCAAACTTTCAGAATGCGTCAAATACTGGCAACTATGCATGTCTAACTGTTATATATATAAACTGTCTAACTATATATATATATATATATATATATATATAATAGTATGTATGCATGTAATGATTTTTTGAAGTGATAAGATGTATTGCTTTTCTTTTTTAAAAAGTCACTAACCCGAACCACAGTAGTTGCACTAATTTGCAAGTACCAAGACAGATAGCTAGGATTTGTTCAAGAATTAAAAGGATATGAGATTAAAACAAAATAAATTATTTGACGTTGTCATACTAAAAACCACAGTTAAGCATTAGTAAGTTAGAAGCTATTACAAATGGCTCATCAGCTTGAATTGAAATGACCTATGCATAAATTTAGTTTACCAAGATTTGGATATAAAAGATTGAATATTACAGTTTCTAAAGATCTGGGTATAAATTAGCCATAGCCCATGCCTCATCTGGAAATTATTAAGAATGGACGAATTTGATGCCAGCACAGTACCGGGTGGCCATAATTAAACTGACAGTGCTCACAGTGTTCTGTAGCGCAATCTATTTGCGAAAATGACACCACATTTGGTAGGAAGAAACAAGACGGGGGACGAAGGATTCTGCGAAAAAACAAATTAGTTCCAAAAGTCACCACTGGGGGAATATTTGGCGCTGTGTGATAGAAAATAGAGTGTTAAGAAATGCAAATTAATACGGGAAAAAAATTACCTTTTATTATGCACATTTTCTGATTTAGTTCAAGTGCAATATGGCAACACTTTTAAAAAAGCGTACAATCTACATAAACACCGATAAAGTCTCGTGATCTGCAATATGAGCAGAACAAGAAGTTCTTTATTCAAATTTCACGTTACATCCATTTGCAGAATGCCAGCTGCTTGGGTTTTAAAAAGGAATGTGTTACGTTTCGAATCAATCAGATTGAAAGTTTATGTGCAATGTCTCCTTCTTTAGTCAAGCGTGTGTTGCTGGTAAAATTCTTTTACGTCAACCAGTGCAACGCGTCAGCCACTCTTAGTGCTTTTAGAACACACACACAAAAAAAAAAAAATGCATAAAGGTAACAGTCCTGTGTCAGTTAATGGGCTAAAAGCAGTGGTTGCGACGTTTGAGAAAACAGGTTCTCTGAAGGTTGAGTCAGGCAGAGGACAAAAACCTGTACCACAGGATACAATCAAAGCAGTTGCCACGGCGATTCTCGACAGAGGACCAGACAATATTGCTGCCACCTCTAGTGCTTGTGAAGTAGCTCGGAATATGGATATGCCTTACAGTAAGGTATAGAAAATCTTACGAAAGATTATCAACTTCTATCCGTACAAGATCAGCCGTGTACGGGAGTTACTGTACCCCGACCATGATAAGCGATTGACTTTTGCTCTCACCTTTCTTGCCGGAATGGAGGTGGATGATGCTTGGCCATGAAAAATCTTATGGAGAGACGAGGCCCACTTTTACCTGAATGGAACTATGAATACCCAGAACTGCCGAATTTGGGATGACAAATCACCATATGCAGTCACAGAAATTCCCTTACATTCACCAAAGGTAACTGTTTGGTGTGGGTTCACAGCGGAATTTATCGTAGGTCCATTCTTCTATGAGAATATTACCCCAACAGGACCGGAAACCTGTTCTGTTACCGGAGAGAAATATCGCCTCATGTTGAACAGCTTTGTCATTCTGGCACTTCAGCAAAGACAATGCCTGAGGGAAATCATTTTCATGCAAGATGGAGCCCTTCCACATGTTGCTGTACGGGTGCAACAGATGTTACGACAGAAATTCACAACAGAAAGAGTTATTAGCCACTACTTTCCAACTGCATGGCTACCTCGGTCGCCTGATTTTACCCCATGTGACTTCTGGCTATGGCGTTACCTTAAGTCCAAGGTCTATCAAGGAGTGGTTGACCTGGCTACGTTGAAGGATAACATATCATGGACTGTATGGGAGATTCCTGCCACAGTATGCAATATGTGGTGCACAACAACGGCAGCCACATTGAACCTCATTTGAATGCAAAATAAAAGGTAATTTCCGTATTGATTTGCATTTGTTAACACTCTATTTTCTATTACACAGCGCCAAATATTCCCCTAGCGGTGACTTTTGGAACTAATTTTTTTTTCGCGGAATCCTTCGTCCCCCATCTTGTTTAATCTTCCTACAAAATGTGGCGTCATTCTCGCAAATAGATCGCGCTACAGAACACTGTGAGCACTGTCAATTTAATTATGGCCACCCGGTAGATACTTTAGGTGTGTACACCATCCTCATCTGTGATGAAAATAAAATACAGAAACTCAGTACTGTGAGACCTAAGTTTACAAATTTAATTTGTTCTTGGAGGCCATTTGTCATCTGAATTGTTCATTAACTGAAACTATTTTCCTCATAGCAGGGTTCGTATGGTCCTTAAGAGTCCTTAAAAGTTCCTTAAATTTTTTGGAACTGATTTTTGGTACTTAAAAGTCCTGATTTTGGCCAAAATCAGCAGAAGGTCCTTAATTTTAATCATCTGAAATTTCTGTCTGTTTTTACGACTGCTATTTTGAGTGTGAATTAGCATTTTGGCGGAATATTTTTGGCAATTCACTGACGTATATGGTTATTTTTTTAAGTTTCTATTTCTAATATTTACTCGAGTTTCTAAGCAAGAAGTGAAACATAAGCATTTCTCGTAATAAAGATCTTTCACTTTTGGAGGTGTGAATTCTTTTATTAAATGGTTCTAAATATGGCCACTTGTCAAGATTTTGGTGATTTTAAGATTAGTTTCTATAGAAAAGTTTTAATTCCAAAATCTGAGAATTTTTCGATGATTTTTTTAAAACATCATAACATTGATAAATGTCATTAAAATAATGGTAATATATTAGAATTATATTAAAAAAATAACATTAAAATAAAACATTTTTATTTTTTGCTGTCATATTATAAAGTTTCATTTTGGCAACTTATTATACAATATTTTGAATCTGAAAAATAAACAAAGAGTAATGCTGTAAAGCATAATTTACAAAAGAGCTCTTAGCAAAAGCAAAATTAGCTATGTAATTAATTAAAAAGTCTTCTTTTTAATTTTTTTCATAGTAAGTGTTTTTTCCATGTAATTGTCTCAGAATATGCATCAGATTTCTCTATAAAATTAATTTTACACTTTTTCTCTCCTTTTTTTTTTTTTTTTTTCTCTAAAATATTTCTGGCTTTTTGCTGTTACAGAATTGGTTGGGATAATTTTTCTTTAGTATTTTTGACATTGCAGCTTGGAAAATTTAGAAGGATTTTAAGGCAAGATTTATAGACCCACGATTCTAGAAGATTCGAGAAATGCGTGACAAAATGGATTGGATTATTTAATTATGGCAAAGCACACGAGGGTTATCTGCCTAAAGGGAGGGATGCCTTTGTGGAGGACTTTCTGAGGAAAACTGGCTCATATATACGTTACACATGGGGAAAACCACGAAAACACAAATGCAGCCAGCCCATTCGCGGGATTCGAACCTCGGACCGAACTACCAGCGTTCAGCGTCTTTACCGCTCAGTCGCTGGTGGGTGTGACAAAATGAAAAATGTCTCCATGGTATCAACACGTAATGGATGTATTTTACAGAAAGTTTGCAATGAATTTCTTCTTTTTTGGAGAATGTGTGGAAGCACAATGAAGACATAATATTTAATTGTTTTACTCCCGATACTAGAATTTTTCTAACATGTTAGCTTCCCTTTATTTTCTCTATTTCACTAGACAAAGCATGGAAATATCAAAAATGTTTCTAATCTTATCACTTAGGCAGGCATTTTAGAAGGGATTTTTTATTAATTAATAAAGAAACTGAAAACTTAAAATTTAAAAGATCCATCTATATGTCTTAATGCATCATACAGTAGGCATTTTCCACCTGATGCAATCTCTGTGGATCCTAATTCGACATTAGACCTTTCTAAATTGCTTTTCAATGCCTGCTCTAAATTCTGAAAGTTTTGCCACTTCCAGATTTTTTTGTTTGGTGTGTCACTAAATTCTAAAAATTCTGCCACACCAGCTCTGTAACCGGCCTTTACCATATATATTTCATATTTCTTCTGAATTTCATATCACTAAAGAAATTAAATTAGTCACTTTTCCTATACATTAAATGCATTTAGTGCTTTTTAGAAAAACAGAAATATTTAAATATTTAATTAAAAATTCTAAAATGAAAAGGAAACATGCTGAAGAAAGAAACTGAATACATAAAGAAAGTTATTCTTGAAAGATATGTGCAGTTATTATTTGTAAATTACTCAATTGTTTATGATTTTAGCCTTTACTATAATTTTCTATTTCTGTTTACTCATATGACAGGGTTACTGAGACAGATTAAATTAAATTGTATAATCTTTGACCACTACTCCACATTTTTAGTTTGAATTTGACTGTTCTTGTTTAATTACATTACCGTGATTGATTGATTGATTTAGTTAGCATCAGAACATGCCTTTATGTTTGTTCAAAGTTCTTTTTAAAGAAGAGGTTTATTTAAATCTTTGTCTGATATTCTAGTTACTTTCAGACATAGTGATAATTTGCTTCATATCTATCGGGAGTTTTGGACTATTTAACTTTTACCGTATCAAGTAAACCCTCCTAGGTATATTGTGGAGTGGTTGACAAGTTAGGAAACAAAGCATGCAGAAACTAGTGAGAGCATTAGTTTGCATATTGGGGCAAATCTCTAATTATTGTTAGAAAAGATGCTTAAAGAGAAGGAA